AATAAATAAATAAATAAATAAATAAATAAATAAATAAATAAAATAAAAGCAATGGAGTCCATTAGACCTCCCTCCTTTTACAATCTAGTTATCACAGTTACTTGTTATAGTAACAGAAAGATGGATAACACAGATAACTACACGAGGTTACTAAAGTGCTCTTACATGCTTGACCTCTGCTACCCTGACATTCCATATCCCACTGAAATCAAAGAACTCATTTCAACTGTCACACTTCTTCCAAGTTTTCTTGCTCTATGGAGAAGTATTCCAATGATTTTCAAAGATGCAGGAGCACCTCTTCACAGGCCTTGTTTTGGTTTGTATTGGTGCATTGTAGTTTTACATAATAATGGCATTCATCATGATATATTCATACGTATGCAATGCACAATTTGGCCTGTTTTATTCCATTGTACAACCCCTTTCACATTTCCTCTCCTCTCTTCAATTCCCCTTCCTCTAGTCTACTGGTCTCTCTTCTATTTTCTTGAGGTCCCTTTTCTTTCCATTTTTTTCTTAGTTTCCAGACATGAGAGAAAACATTGACTTTCTGGATCTGACCAATCTTAGCATAATGTCTCCAGTTCCATTCATTTTCCTGCAAATGACATAATTCCATTCTTCTTTATGCCTGAATAAAATTCCATTGTGTGTAAATACCACATTTTTCTTTTTCCAGTCATTTGTTGATGGACACATAGTTTGGTTCCATAATTTGGCCATTATAAATCACGCTGTCATAAACATAGGTACACATGTATCAAAAAAATAGATGCTCCATGAATTTGCATAACTCTTTTGCACATAGGCCATGCTAATCTTCTCTGTATTGTTCCAATTTTACTATCCGTGCTGTCAAGATGAGCACTCAAAGATGGTTGACAGACTGTTGGTTTCTCAGTAAACAGAGTGAGAGTATGGATAAAAAAGAAGGATAAAAATTAATTTTAGATAGAGCCACACTTACTGATAGAGGTGAACTTACTAAAGATCCTGGATTCAGCAAATTAGCTAGAGCAGTTGGAAGTGGTTCTAATTGTTGGTGTTGTTAATTGATTTTAAAAACTGGATTAATTTATGGCTTGAACTACAGCAAGCCCAGATGCTAGAAAATCTCTGGTATTATATCCCCTCCTTGGTTTCACACATACTTTCAATGTATCCTCTATAAATGCAAAGAAATCTTTAACTTTCTGTGTGACATTTTATTTCTTTATGAAAAATAATTCTGAATATGGCAAAACATTAATACATGTTAAATCTCCTTATGTTTTTGTGCATATTTGCAATTTTTATGAGCTCTCCACCCCCTTCCAGGTCCCAGTTGGAGGGCTTTTCTCCCAGCAGTAACAGAACATCAGTGTTCCTCATCCTGCCACCAGATACCTATTGTTGAGAGAAAGCCCAGGAAAGCATAACTGAAAAATGGCAGCTCCCTTCTTCCTGAGGTAGAGCATTGTTAACCATCAACACACACAGCAGGATTACCAGGAGGGCAGCAGAAAAATAAATGAGCAGAAAAAAATAACCAAAGAAATAATGGCTGGAAACTTCCCAAATGTATTGAAAAACAATAACCAATTCATAGAACAAAGTATTTGTCTTAGGCACCACAACACTAGGATAACTGTTGCCTGGCCCATGGGTTGCACTCCCAAGGAGACAAACTGAGAGGACATCAGGCCACTTCCCATCTCCTTCACCAACCTCTCAGCTCCTTTAGCAGGAAAGTCAAGAAAGAGAAGCTGGCCACAGATATACTCACAGCTCTGGTTCAGAGTTTGTCGGGGGAAGAATCAAGCTCTAAAACAGAAAGCTGCTAATCTTTTCCTAAAGGAACTGACTTTATTTTCAACCGAACTTGGATAAAGTCATGCCTAAGAGTACTTGCAAGAGCAGTGGGGGTCCTGGTAAAAGGCAAATGGGCCAGATTTATGAATTTAACAAAGATGCAGCTAAGATTGTTGGCCAGGAATTTTCAGGAGAAAATCAGGAATAAGACAACTATAGGGAATGCTCCTGCAGTTAGATTAAATATGAAGCAGTGACTTCACAAATTGTTCTTTCAAAGGCGATAGAATTTGATTTGATTGTTTTTAGAGCTGCTCATATGCCAGGACACTTTGAAAACATTAGAGCAATCTGCTTACAAATAAATGGTGACATTTAATATTTGGGCATAGTCAGAGAAAAAGAGGAAGTGAACCCCCCCACTATCATGCCATGGTGACTATGGGACTACTCAAGTTCACCTATGTACAGAACAACATCAGGAGTTTAACAGACATCACTACAATAATCTGGCCAGTCATTAAACCAATAAGAAAGGATGCCGTGGAGGCAGGGAGACGAGTACCAAATTGCTGTCGTATGTTATGAAAAGTGTCCAATTTCTAACAAAATAAAAGTAGGAGGTGTGCAAAGAGACTTGAAAGTATTCTTTACACATGAGAAAAAAATAGTAGTTAACAGAAATTGCCTATAAGAGAACCAGATGTTAGGTTGATTCGAAAATGACTTCAAAATAATGATTATAAACAGATTCACAAAAGTAAAAGCAACCAGGATGAAAGAGACCAAAGAAAGTATGATGACAATCTTGTATTCAATAGAGACTATTAATAAACATAGAAAATATAAGAAAAAAGCAAACTGAATTCTGAAGAGCAAAAGTGACATCACTGAAATTTAAACATGACTAGAAGGCTCTTTATCAGATTGAAATAAGAAGAACAAAGAATTAAGAAACTTGAAGATAGATTAATGAGACCTCACAAGCCAAAAATCAGAGGGAAATTCTTTTTAATTAACAGAGCCTCTGGGATGTAGGACACCATTGAATGCATCAATATACACATAATGGGATTACCAGGAGGAAAGGAGGGAGAGAAATGAACAGGAAATTTACTCAAAGTAATGATGGATGGGAACAAATTAGATAACTCGGAAGGAATAAACAAAATCCCTAGAAAGACACAAAGTAATAAGATGAACTCAAGAAGAAATAAGCAATCTGAATCAAGTTATAATGAGTGAAAGATTGAATTAGTAACAAAAAAAGATTACCCACAAAGAAAAGCCAAGCCCCAGATGGCTTCACTGTTGTATTATATTAAACATTTAAAGATTGAATACCAATTTTTCATGAGCTTTTCAAAAATAGAAGAGGAAACACTTCTCAACTCAATGTGTGAAGTAATTATTTCTCTGATACCCAAACCAGACCAAGACATCCAGAGAAAGGGAGAAAGCCATAAATCTGGGTGCAAAACCTTCAACATAAAGCTAACCAAAAAAAAAAAAATACAGCTGCATATGGAAGAATTGTACACCATGACCAAGTGGGACTTATCACAAAGATTCAAGGCTGGTTTGATATCTGAAAACTAACAAGACAATCACTACAGAGCTAAAAAAAAAAAAAAAATTCCTAACCCCACCCAATCTTGATCACTAACCTACTTTGCATTTCTTCGTCAATACATCGTCCACACAACAAATATTGATCTGCTCTGTAACTTAACAGCTTTCCTTCCCGCCACCCCCGAGTTGTTTTCTTCCTTCCATTTTATTTCTATTCAATGGGAATGAATACCTATCTTTTTTCATAGACCTACAGTTGAATACATGACTATAAGTTCATTATCTTGACTTCCCATTTTGAACATCCTTACCATCACAGAAAACCTTTCCAGATTTGTACAGTTCCACTCTCTCTAAAAGTAAAAGGTTAACACTCAAAATTCAACAAACAATGATATATGAATATATTACCAGTGCAACTCCACATCATGTACCACCATAAGAATGGGAAGTTATTTTCCATGTAAATATAATAAGTCAAAATACACTCTACTGTCATGTGTATTTTTTAAAAAAAAAAAAGTTACATTCAGCAACCTAACGTACTCCTTTCATCTCTAAAGTACTCCTTTTTCCCAGAGCAAGCAGCATCTCAGAATCTGCACTTGAAAAGAATATAAGAGAAAGATGATATAATGATTTCTACAATAGTCATCATGGTTTATTTAGTTTCTAATAAAAATGATCTTATGCTTAGCATTGAGGCTGTCATTCAAAAATATTTGTTAAATGAATACTAAGTGTAGAATTCCATACCAAACTCCCTAAAGAATTCAATATATAGTAAAGGGATATAAACTGGGAAGTAAAGGACTCAGTCTGACAGGTATCACTCTCAGATGTAATCACAGAGTTGTGATGCTATTTGGGCCAGGTCATGTACTCTATCTTTCAATTCCCTTTTCTAAAAGGGAAGGATTGTCCATTTCAGGGATGACAATGAAGTTTCTTCTCAAGTGCCAAATCCAGTTGATTGGTAATCATGCTTTGAGTTCTGGGAAGAAGTATGAATCCCAGTACAGGTTCAGTAATAAGAATCCCGTGTTCAATTTTGGATGTGCATCATGATCATAAGTTAGAGAAGTTTTCAAAGAGTATGTAAGCTATTTGCCATCTCTAAACTATTTGGATGCACAGACTAATCAATTTTTTTTAATAAAAAATATCTGATTCCTCATGCTCCACATCTAACAATACCTATTATGATAATAAAATTATGAGTATTTGTTTTCCTTTATTTAATTTTCCTTCAATTATTGGTTTTTAAGGGTATAACACTTTTGCAAACAATAAAGAACATGTAGAATATTATTTTAATAATATATTAAATATTTAATTTAAAGCACCTATTGACTTTAATTATCCAAGGGAACAAAAAATTAAGGCAAAGGTCATATGTGTTGAATGATGATCCCAGGGGATATGAATGCTCATTTTCTGAATTCAAATTATCATTGTATGTCTCACCTTAAAGTTATCAAATTTCTCCATTTTTTTCCTGTATTTCTAGAATAGTACTTTATTTAAAGTTCATATTTATATAAATAATTTGGCTATTAATATCAACTGTAACTATTTTATGCTTTTATATATATAATGCTTATATATATTTATATTTATATACTTTATATATATTCTTCAATTTGGATACTAAAATACCAAATAGTTTTTCATCAATCAAATCAAGTAGAAAATTTTAGTCTATTTAATACTGCAGACATCAGCCAAACATAAGCCACCTAGGATTATGAGTCCCCTTAAGGGATTGTCCAAGTTACACTGGTTTAGTAAGTCATTACTAATTTCTTATGTTCCCAAGTAAGACCATACTATTCTTTTAAAAATTACCTTATCCCTTTCTTCTTCCAGAAATCTAAGTATTATAGTATTTTTCTTTGTCTATTAAAATAACAATGTATTTTTTATTTTTAATGGGAAAGGATCTGTATATACATTTTTGCCAGTAATATATGAATTATTTATTGACTCAAACAGAAGAAATTAATTTAAAATATTTATTTATTTTACATGAAAACTTAGTAGATATATTGATCTGGCAAAACTGAGGGAGTCTAATAATCAAAAACTTTCTATTAGATTTTTTTGTGCACATTGCCCTAATTGTCTTTCCATTTTCAGTGCCTTAGCTATTTTATCAATGAGTTATAAATGTATTATTTACATGCCATTCATTGCAACTCTGGTTGAAATAACCATGTATAGAGGTCTCATTTTGCTCATTGCACCAAAAAACAAAAGTGAGAACTCAGAGATAATCTTTTCTCAATTCTTCTGAGAAGCACAAGAATCAAACAGGGCTATTCCAAAGTCTTTTCCAAATTGGTGTCAGTTACTTAATTTAAAATATACAATGAATAAGCTGCAGGTGGTGGTGCACACATGTAATCCCAGTTGCTCAGGAGGATAGGCAGGAGGATCACAAGTTCAAGGCCAGTCTCAGCAACTTAGAAAGGCCCTAATAACTTAGCAAGACCCTGCCTCAAG